CCCCACCCACCCTGGTGCACCCCGTCTCTGGACGCCTCCAGCACATTTCCTGGGTGGCTGAGGGCCCCAGTGATGCGTCTGCATTCTCCACTGGTGACAAATCTTTGTTTGCTGAGAGTGGACTTTAATCTTGGAAACCACCAAAAATCACACGGAGCCACACCAGGGACTTACACAGCGGCTCAAAGGATGTAGCTGAATTTTGGGTCCCAAATGGCATTTGATCATAGAGTCCCGAGGCTCAGTTCCTTGTGACCTGGTGCATTTATTTAAAATAATCTCCCATCACCCTGTGGTCATGACCTTGTGGTCATCTTCTACATGACTTTTGAATGCCTGAAATGTTCAAAAGTCGTGCTAAATATATACGCAACTAAATATGCTGTTTCAACTTTACACGGAACAATTCAGTGATGTTAATCATGATCACGTTGTCCAACCCTCACCACCATCCATTTCAAACCCTTCCGGCACCCATAACACAATACATATTTTTTTAATTTAGAAAGCTCTTCACAAACCAGGTAACTTGGGCCTGGGCCTGCTTGTGGGTTCCAGAATCTGGGATGCATGCGCCTTCCTGCCCACTCACCCAGGAAGGGTATCTACTTACCTCCAGTCGGCCAACTGCTGGGTGCCTGCCATGGTCTCAGGAATCACAGTTGCGTGCTGCACAGACGTGTGGGTGGCCACGCCTGTGAGCTGCTGCCATGTGGGGGGAAGCAGGATCTGCTGGGTCCCGCTGGGCCAGGCCTGCTGTAGGACAGAGGACACAGTGTGCCGTTAAGCAGAGAACCAACCAGCACAAGGCAAGTGCTTATCACATCCCTCCCGAAGGAACCAACGTGGCTGACACTTTGGTTTCAGATTCCCAGACTCCAGAGCTGGGAGAGAGTGCTCGTTGTGTTAAGCCACCTAGCTTGTTACAGCAGCCCTACAAAACTGATACACCATCCTGCCATTGTCATTGATGGTATCTGTTGGTGGCCAAGTTGCCAGCTCTGGCTTGGGGCTTGGGAGGACGGAGGCGTCTGCCCCTTTTGTTGTTGTTGTTGTTGTTATGTGCCGTCGAGTCGGCCCCGTCTCATAGCGACCCCTCCTTGGGTTTCCGAGGCAGTATCACTACGGAAGTAGGATTGCCCAACCTTCCTTCCGAGGAGTGGCTGGTGGGTTTGAACCGCCAGCCTTCTGGTTAGCAGTCAAGTGCTTTTTAGCCACTATGCTACCAGAGCTGCCCCTTTTAGGCAATATCAAAGCAAGTTTCCAACTTGTATTTGTAAGCCAACCCCTCCACGTCACTCCCAGGTCACAGAAACAAGAGTCCGGATGACAGCTCTCTAAGAGAAGGCCCTCCAACTGCTCCAGTTGGGTGGCTTCTCTCTGTGTGGGAACTGCTGGGGGGAAGTAGCAGAATGACAAAGAAAATTCACGTGACAAGTGCATTCAAAAGGCTCCATCTGAGTGTTCCTCAAAAAAGTCTCTGAAAAGATTGTAGATGAAAAGAAGGGTGGATATATTTAAAGGAAATAATAGCATTTGGAATGTCCCTGCCTGATGCCTAGAAGTTCATGTCTTTGTTGGAGAGCATGTGCTTGAATGTTTAATTACTCCATTTTTTAAATAGCTGTCATACTAGTTTTGTAAATTAACTTACTTTTATTCATCAAAAGAACCACTGAAGGTGTCTAGGGGAGAGCCTGCCTTAACCAGCTCCCATGCTGGCACGGACTCACTGACAAGCAGAGAGAGAATGCAACCCACAGATGAAAAGTGTGACCCTGGGAAGGTGGGTGCTTTCCACTTCCCAGGTCGTGGACGTCTCTTTGCATGTCAAGATACACGTGTCTGCCTTGTCCTTGTTAACGGCTACATGGTGTTCCAGTTTATGCATACATCATTTTATGGAACGCATCCCCTACCGATGAGCGTTAAATGGCTGCCAGCAGGTCCCCATTGTGAAAACTGCAGCAGTTAATATCCCTGCACGGGCATTTCACTGCTCGCGGTCTCACCGACAGCTGATTCAGGGTAAATCCACGTGGAGACTGACACCACCACAGGGGCTCTTTTTCAAGCCAGTAGAAGGCACAGCACTTTTTGCAGGGATGAGAAGACTGAGAGAAATGAATTCAGAAATGCTGAGCCTACTGGTTTCCATCAAACTGGATGAGGAAGGCCGCTGATTTAGCTCGTAAACCAGTCACCAATGCCGATTCAGGTCTGTCAGGGTGGAGCTGTGTTCCACAAGGTTGTCAGGGACTGAGATTCTGAAAGTCAGTCACCAAGCCTTTCAAAGCACCAGTGGAGGACTCGAACTGCCAACCTTCCAGGCAGCAGGTGAGCACTTAACTGTGTGTACCATCCAGGGACTCCACACCAGCTAATAGGACAAAACAAAAAGCCCAAACACATCTATTGCCGCGTGGTCGATTCTGACTCCCAGCGTTCCTACACGACAGACTGGACTGCCCAAGAGGGTCTCCAAGGCTGTCAGTCTTCACAGAAG